TCGCAGGTTACTCGCAACATGGTACCAGGTGAAAACGACACCGGTACCAACACACCCCCCATACCGCTGGGAAGAGTTCATTCACACACCGGGAATCTACTACGAGGAGATAGGACTGCTGAATCAAGCGGAATCGGTGTGGAGACTGGCAATAAAATTAGATATCGCTGCGATTGGTGTAAGAGTCCGACAGGTACAGGATCACTTAAAGAGAACCGAAGATCGATGCGGAAATATATTATCGGAAAACGTAAAACAAATGTGCCAAAATATCCTACGAATTATGGAGAAGGATAATAAAATGTTGACAGTATTAGTAAACCACCTGTACGGATTATATAAGCCAATAAATAATAAGCGCGGATTAATCGACGCCATAGGCGTGGTAGGAAAAACGTTGTTCGGAGTAATGGACGCGGACGACGCAAAGTTAATAGATGAACAAATCAGGTTAACGCAAAATAACCAACAGACGCGGTCAAAAACCAGCTCAAAATAATAAACGCAACACTAGGGCACCTAACAAAGGTAGAGCAGGCGGTAAACTATAACGAGCACTTACTATTAAATGTTAGTCGTAGGACGGAGTTACAACTAGCCAAATTTACACTACGGGAAGACGTGGACGAACAGCTACTCGTCCTGATGGCAATTATTGCCGATCTGGTAAAGGATGTAGAAAACATTACCTCACATACGCGCACGACGGGCTGATTATGACCCGCCTATTGCCATTGGAAACAATTATAGCGGAACTACGAGAAGCCGCGACACAATTAACCAAGGGTTTACATTTTCCGTTCAGGATACAACTAGAAAACTGGCAGTCCATTCAGAAATACATGAGGGTAAACGCGTACTACACAGACCCGAACATATATACCATACTCAAGTTTCCCGTCATCGCGTACCCGTCATATAAAGTCATAAAAGTAATTCCTTTTCCCACACCGGAGCAGGATAATGTATTTACATTCCTAAAAGTAAACCAGCCCCTGATGGCAATTGACAAAGAAAATCATCACTACATGCTGCCGTGTGAAAAGGAACTAGCGAAATGTGTCCGGGAGGAATCGACGTTTACATGTGAGCGAAACCTACCCGTGTACAGTATTAGAGCAGACGCACCGTGCGAGGTGCAAGTGTTTACAAATTTGCCAGGGCAACTCCGAAATTGCGAACGAAAACGCGTGTTAGCAAACACCACACTGTGGATAACACTAACCGAATCGCAAACGTGGCTATACGCAACGCCAAAAGCACAAAAAATAAATATAAAATGCAGCAATCAAGCGGAACAGGGAATTGTAATACGCGGGACCGGGAAAATAACGTTGGAAGGAAATTGTAAACGACTCCTGATGTCACGCTAACGACGCAACAACAAATCTACGCCGCGAATATACAGGCGCACTTACCCGAATTTAACTTGACTCTCGAGCCGCCCGACGAACATCTTACACACCGGGAACGGCCACGATTAAAAACAATTGTAAAAAACCCAACCGAACTCGAAAAATTAAGCGCAGAGCTAGATGAAATAAATAGACAATTAGAGAACCAGGATACGATAGTCATGAATAGGTACGCAATGCACGCCGCGAGCGGCGGCGCAACCACTGTAGTAATTATAAGCGTAATATGCGTAATCATCTACATACATAAGAAATGCAAGAAAAAAGCAACAAGGGGTACCCGCGAGGACCCATACTCGAACAATGACGCGATGATGTACTAAACAAATAGACTAGATGGATAGAACAAACGAATAGATAATAAGAAATAAATGTAAACAAAAGTAAGCAGAAAATAAAGAAAATGCATCCCTCATTTCCTTTTCTTTGGGGGGGAAGAGTGTCACGGGCCGATTACCGTGACACGGATGCGACAATTATTAAGAAATACGCGACCTAAATTAAATCGGGAACGCCGACGAAGCGTTCCGAAAAATATATTATGTAAAAATAAAAATAACTAATAAGGATGGTTGCGCGACGGCGACCTCGTGGTAACCGAAAAGTAGTACGCTGACACAGCAACGCGATCGCTATAAGTACGCGCGACGACAATAATTGTTGATAAAGGCCAACGACCTTGGCTGTCTTTAGCTAGTGTTTGGACACCTTGGATGATCCTAATGCCGACAGTACTCCAACTTTCAAGCTTCATAACTCAAGATTTATTTCATAAAAAAATATTTTATTTATGTGTTTTGGAAAGTTCTCGAGGCGTGCTATAAGAACATGTAATGAAAAATTGGGGGTTCCATTTAAAAAATTCAAAGTGATCTTGTCCTGATCTTGACGACGCCACTCAGGGTCAAACCAATGTTATCATCTTATGTCCCCCTCGAAGTCCTACAACTTTTATCTGAAACATTTTTTCCTAGTGTGCTTATTTTTCGAGATATTCGACTGGATGGATTAAAATGGTCCACCCTGTATATATATACATACTACTTTCAAATATTTTTTAATTTTTATTCCAAATTATTTTAGATTATCCAGAGCGCGTCGTTGCTCAGAAAATGCCTTTGGAGTCTTGGGAGCAAGATTTCAAATTTTTAGATCAGCAATGCGTTATGATCCTGATGACGCATCAAAAATTATATTAGCTTGCTGTTGTATACACAACATGTTAAGGACTGAAGTAGTGGGAAGGCATATGTATACTCCTTCTGCATTTATTGACGAGGAAGATGTGCTTATGCATAGATTTCAGCCCGGGGAATGGCGACAAGAGCCTGCTCTTGGAATGATAAATTTAAGAAATCAAGGAGGCAATCGTCATGCTAATGCTGCTTTGCAACTCAGAGACGATTGGTGTAAATACTTTACTGAAGAAGGATTCCGTGGCAAGAATATATGATCGATAATTAAATTTGCAATTTGCATCTCATTTTTATTTGTATCGTATTTTGTATTACATATATTTATCCATAAACCAAACAAAACTTACTTGTATCACATATAATACTTATCTATAAAATAAAAGTTATTTTTATCGCATTTTGTATTACAAATAACATTTATACATAAACTAAACAAAACTTATTTGTATCATATTGTTGCGCTCGCGGACGTTAGTACGCGCACTCCGACTCGTCACACGAGACACGCGTCCGTAAGGAAACGCAACACACGTTCGTTTTATAATAAGGAACTTTAATGAGAACACAACTTTACAATAAGAACAGAATAATTCGTTTAAGCACCGGGAACACGTCCAAACGGTTTGACAGTCCCGCGGTAACTTCAATTCTTTCCTTGTTGATTCCCGTAGCAACGACTCGTTGACGGGAATATTCGATTCTGCTTCTCTCGTAACTAACGTCAGCGGACGGTAGCTCCAAAATCCACGACGCTCAAGGCACGGGCGCAACAATATTATTTGTATCATAATATTTAGTATCACAAAATCTATAAAGTAAAAGTTTAAAACGACCTGCTGTTGATGCGCGGTATAGCTCGTCGGTATCGGAACGGGTGGCAGGGATCGCCAGCAGGTTCAGGAGAGAGAGTAGCGGAACAATAACGAAATCGAACGAATTAGGTATAAGTTAACAAAATAAAATATATTCCGCAAATAAAATAAAATAATAGTACATCGAATAATAATCCATCGCAAGATATAAAAGAAACCCGAAAACAATAAGACATGGAATAATGATCCGTCGCAATATATAAAAGAACCAACGTGAATCGCGGGGCGTTCCCCTATGCGGATTACAGGGCCCGATAGGGGAGCGATAATAACTTAAAAACACCGCGAAGAACTAGTTGTAATAAAAGAAGAAAAGGAAAGTCCGCAATTACTCTAAGTATCGTTAATCTCGGTCGTAATGCCCCACGCCGTGTTTGTTCGTAACTCGTGGCGCGCGCCCGGAGCGCGGGGTGGTGCGCGGCGCGAGCGCTCGGTCTAACGACGCGGTCACGCGCTCGTGGCGTGTGCGGGCGTACCCGATTGGTGCGCGCGTACGGCGCGCGGGCCGTACGCGAGTTCGTATCTCCGCGCCCGTCGAAACCGAGGGCAAAGTCTAGGATCGTGTCGACGGAAAATGGGGAAGCGAAGCGTCCGAGAAACGCTCGGATCGAGGCGAAGTAGCGCTTCACCCTTGTATCGCTCCTCCGGGTGCGAGGAATTTGGAGTGGCCCCTGCCGAGAAACGCTCAGCCAGGAGCAGAGAAACGCTCTACTCCTGGGTATTTCGGGGCCACTGTGCGGATCGTATCTGGAGGTCTGCGAACCGAGACGCCACCGAGAATCGCTCGGACCGAGGCAAAGCCACTCTTTACCCCGGTGTCGTCGGTTCGTGAGACGGTCAGGAACTGGTAGCCTTCCTGGCTTCGGAGCCCCTTATATACTCTCGCATTCGGCCGCAATCGGCTCCGTTCGGTGGTTTCCGGTACCGTTACATGATTTACGGTAATGTCTTTGTCGGCTGGCCTTAAGTCGCCAGCCGACGACCTTTGGAACGCTTAAAAAATATGGGGCGCACCGCGCCTTCTTCGCCCGACAATTCGTCGGTCGGGCGGCATCCGGCGGTTGTTCGGCCGGGAACGATGCACTTTCGGGGGTGCATCGTTACAAGTTATTCGTATCGCAACAGTGTATTGTATTTGTATTACATATAATACTTATATCCGTAAATCAAACAATGTGTATCACGTGTACTTATCTATAAAAAATAAAAATAAAAGTTATTTTTGTATCGCATTTTTATTACAAATAACATTTATCCATAAAATAAACAAAACTTATTTGTATCATATTTTGTATCACATAAAATCTATAATGTAAAAGTTATTCGTATCGCAACAGTTTGTATTACATATAATACTTATATCTATAAATCAAACAATGTGTATATCACGTGTACTTATCTATAAAAAATAAAAATAAAAGTTATTTGTATCGCAATATCACATGTAATACTTTGGTAAATAAAAAGTAAAAAATATCATAAGATATTAATATAAATGCGAATACGCTCAAGAGATATTAATAGTCTGCAAGACATTTCATAATATCATGTTCACATCGTTTACGAGTCAGAGAGCTCATTTCCCGTAATCTCGCTGCTACAAAATTTCCAAAATATTCTACTGAATCATTTTCAGATGTGCATTGATTTGATAGTGTCTTAATGGCTCCAATTGCCTCTTCTACTAATGATCCCTTTCTTTTTTTAACTGATCCTCTTTTTATGTATATGTTTTTTTTGTCCGAAGTTGATTTTAAGTTGGCAGGAGAATGTATAGTTGCTGACAGCTTTGCTGTTGATGAACTTGATAAACCAGATGAACCACTATCTAACTGAGAATTATAAAACGAATTTGATAAATTCTTTGTACTAGAACAAGCTGAAATTTCATCTAAACTGAAAATTTCCGGAGAATCAAGATCATGCTAAAATTAAAAATTAAAAAAATAATTAATAAAATTAATTATAAGATTTTGCCGAGATTTGCAATAAACCCTCACCTGTGTATTATGTAAATTATATTGTGTTAGGTCTATAAAATCCTTCTCTAGATATTCAATATTTTCAGAGTTATTTTCTTCTATTATATTATCAGTATCAATACCTATTACGGATTCTGTGTTGTCAGAATATGAAGTATTTATAGGAGTTTGTAAATTAGATGTACTTTCTGCCTGAACACATGATTTTTTTAAGAATTTTAATCGACCATACAGAGCCCATTTAGGTTTATAAATGTCTTCGGAACTTTTTCCACTACACCTTTTTTGTGATTCACGTTCTTTCCGAAAGTTTGTCACAAAAGTTTGCTTCATACTAGTAAAACGATGTTGTACCATATCAGCTGTAAAATATTAAAGTGGTTAATTAGCATACAGATAATAACATTTGTTTAAGAGAAAAAAAAGAATCAGGTATTGTTCCCTCTTTCTCATACATGCTGTTTATGCTAATATATGATATGCTCGATCTTATCTACGTCTATATATTCAATACAATGTGTAGGGTTGAGAACACATACACATGCACTTCCGTTCCTTTACATATATACTCCATGGCTACGCCATATTGTCGCCATTATCGACAACAGAGTTCCTATCTACAAAACATATACTCATAGTTCTTCTCCGCGATCCGTAGACATTATCGCCCTCATTCCTTTTGTAACTTCCAATAAAGCAAGTTGTTGTGTTATACGAGTGTCTGTACCGAAATCCTCTGATTCCCACTCTTATGTAGGATAAAACCCCTACATAATTGGTGACCCCGAAAAGTGTTTTCTACCGCGAACATATATATCTCGCGAGTTAATTGTTAAGAACACGTGCCAAGATGACGACCGCACGAACGCCGACTCACACCCTCGGAGAATCCAGCGAGCAAACAGCGCTCGAGGACGCGACCACGCCGATCATTTTCCGACCGCCAACAATACCTCGCCACGAAGAATTCGATGCAGAGTTCAGAAACGTTCGTCTGCCGACGTTCTGGAAAAATCGACCCAAGCTATGGTTCGTACAATTAGAGTCAGAGTTCAGTACATATCGCGTGAGATCCGACGATATTAAATACAGTGCCGTTATAAGACACCTCGATGAGAACACGATGATCACCGTCGCAGACGTCCTGGAAAACCCGCCTGAAAGCGATAAATACAAACGTCTCAAGGACGCCTTGATTTTGAGATTTGCTGACTCACACGAAAAACAAATGAGAACGCTCCTGCATGGCATCGAGCTCGGAGACAAAAAACCATCGCAGTTGCTACGTGAAATGAAAGCGCTCGCAGGAGAGAACGCCACCGAAGGCCTTTTACGCACACTATGGCTACAACGGCTGCCATCGCGTATTCAGGAGATGCTGCTAATTTTCGATGGTGCAAACTTAGATAAATTAGCAGAGTGCGCTGATAAGCTCAAGGAACATCCGACGTCCATCGACATCCACGCAGTGCAAACAACACCATCAAGCTTGGAAGATGCTGTACAACAAATATTAAAACAGATGGCTGCACTAACGGCCAAAGTCGAAAAATTTACGAGACGAAGCCATTCACGGGGCCGCTCTCAAAGCCGCAGCAGCAGCCGCTCACGGTACTCAAGCAAGACACACGACGCGAACAAAGAAGGTCAGTGCTATTATCATAAAAGATTTGGCAGCCAGGCGCGCAAATGCTCACCCCCCTGCAACGCGGCCAAAGTCATACAGGGAAACGAATAAGACCGCCGACGGTAGGAGCCACCAGCGACGGTCTCGAGGTATCACCCCGGCTTCACGTTACCGATAAAATCACCGGACTAACGTTCCTTATTGACACAGGCGCAGATATATCTCTGTTACCAGCATCAAGATCCAGAGAGACTGCAACAGCAACGCCGCTCATTCTATACGCAGTAAACGGCTCTCAAGTCAAAACCTACGGCCAGAAACTACTTTCATTGGATCTCGGCATACGCAGACCAATCTCGTGGCACTTCACAGTAGCTGATGTTTCGCGTCCCGTCATAGGAGCAGACCTACTAAAGACTTATGGTCTTATTGTAGATATCCAAGGTGAACGCCTCATAGACAGAATTACACTACTAAAAATTCCAGGTTTTAGACGCCGAATCAGTTATGTCGCCGTCAAAACTCTGGATTCCTCGTCGGTGCACCATCGCATATTGGCAGACTTCCCGGAAATTACTCGAGAACCTCAAATACCTACCGAGAGAACACATGGGATCCACCACCATATCGAGACAAGGGGCCCTCCCGTTGCTAGTCGTCCTCGCCGACTACCTCCGGATAAACTCAAAACGGCAAAAGCGGAAATTGAGCACTTAGTCCAACGCGGAATCTGCCGCCCCTCCAGTAGTCCATGGGCAGCGCCGCTACACCTCGTACCCAAGAAGCAAACCGGCGTATGGAGACCATGTGGGGACTACCGTGGCCTAAATGCGGTAACCACCCCAGACCGCTACCCACTCCCTCACGTGCACGATCTCACCAACCATCTGCATGGAAAGCGCGTATTTAGCACGCTAGATTTAGTGAAGGCGTATCATCAAGTACCTATTTTTGAAGAAGACATACCGAAGACCGCAGTTACTACACCCTTTGGCCTATTTGAGTTTGTAACCATGCCGTTCGGCCTTCGTAACGCCGCGCAAACCTTCCAGCGCCTCATGAACAAGGTCCTACAAGGGTTAGAGTCCTGTTTCTGCTACGTGGATGATGTGCTAATAGCGTCGACTGATGAAGAACAACACGAGAAGGATCTCCGCCAGGTGTTTCAACGACTTCAAGACGCAGGCATTACCATCAACCCAGCGAAATGCAAATTCGGACAAGCGCGGATTGAATTTTTGGGACACGAAGTCAGCAGTGAGGGCATTAAACCGATGGTCGACAAGGTAAATGCCGTTATAAATTTTCCACGTCCTGAAACGTTGGTTCAACTCCGCAGATTCCTGGGGATGATAAACTACTATCGCCGACATCTTAAGCGAGCAGCCAGAAACCAAGCTCCACTCAACAGTTTACTCAAAGACAGCCGCAAAAATGACAGACGCCCCGTACCCTGGACTGCAGAGTCCATAAACGCCTTTAAGATGTGCAAGGCGGAACTCGCAAACGCCACGTTACTAGCTCATCCACTCGAAGGAACAACTCTCATACTAGCTACAGATGCATCGGACACCGCCATGGGAGCAGCTTTGGAACAAAGGAACAATAATACAACATCGCCAATAGCATTCTTCTCGAAAAAGCTTAGTGATACACAAAAAAAGTACAGCACATACGATCGCGAGCTTTTAGCAATATATGAAAGCATAAAATATTTCAAGGACATCCTACAGGGTCGCACTGTCGTTATTAAAACAGACCACAAACCGCTGATTCATGCATTCAAGCAACGTTTAGACAAAGCATCGCCACGACAAGCGCGACAACTGGATTTTATAGCACAGTTTACAACGACCATAACACATGTCGCTGGCGAAGAAAATGTTGTCCCGGACACCTTGTCCCGCATCGACGCCATACAAGTTCCTGTAATTACTACCACGGAAGAATTAGCTGCAGAACAGGCAACGGACGAAGAACTGCAACAGCTTATCTCTGGTGAAACGGCTTTAGAACTCAAAGAATTCACGCTTCCGGGATCCACAACCCCTCTGTATTGTGATTGCTCAAGAGGTGCCATTCGACCGTACGTGCCCAAAAACCTGAGGAAACGAATCTTTGATACCGTCCATAGTATGGCACATCCCAGCGGTAGAGCCACCAGCCACCAAATTCGACAAAAGTTCACATGGCCTGGGATTAACAAGGACATCGCGCATTGGGCCCGCACCTGTCTACATTGCCAACGCAGTAAAATTCAACGCCATGCACGGAACACACCAAAAACAATCCCAACGCCAGACCAACGGTTCCACCATGTACACCTCGACCTCATTGGACCACTCCCTGAGGTAAGAGGTTATAAATACTGCCTTACAATAATCGACCGTTTTTCCAGATGGCCAGAGGCCATCCCACTACCTAACATGTCAGCACAGACAGTAGCTGCAGCATTTATGGACAACTGGATTGCAAGATTTGGCACGCCCGCCATCATCACCACCGATCAAGGGAAGCAGTTTGAGTCTAGTCTGTTCCAGGCTCTCTCCAAGTTCTTGGGCAGCAAGAAGACTAGGACGTCGCCATATCATCCGGCTTCTAACGGCATAGTAGAGAGATGGCACCGCACCTTGAAGTCAGCTATAATGTGCTACGAGAACGGCCAGTGGTTGGATATCCTTCCAACAGTCCTCTTAGGCCTACGCACGTGCCTGAAGGAAGACCTCAAATGCTCTCCAGCCGAGCTAGTTTATGGTGCTCCGCTGAGAGTTCCCGGAGAATTCCTTGAAAACCTGGATCCGACGGAAGACACCGAGACGTTCGTCATGGCGCTGCGCAAACGCATCAGACAACTTCGCCCGCAGCCAACAGCACATCACGGAAGACGGACAACCTTCAGACATCAAAATTGGGACCAAGCCACCCACGTATTCGTCAGGGAAGATGGTGTAAAGAGATCGCTGCAACACCCGTACACGGGACCATACCGGATCATCCGCAGAGAGAACGAACAGCTGTACATCATCCACGTCAACGGCAGAGACGTCGCACTATCCACGGAGAGGTTAAAACCAGCCTACTTACCCTGCGATTATGAAGTACCCGAACGGCCACAGGAGGAACCGCACGAAGACGTGACTAGGGCATATAGCATTACAAAAAAGACTAGCTGTGATAAAAAAGTACAATTCGCATCTATATACATAGATACTTAAGGGGGAGTAGTGTAGGGTTGAGAACACATACACATGCACTTCCGTTCCTTTACATATATACTCCATGGCTACGCCATATTGTCGCCATTATCGATAACAGAGTTGCTATCTACAAAACATATACTCATAGTTCTTCTCCGCGATCCGTAGACATTATCGCCACCATTCCTTTTGTAACTTCCAATAAAGCAAATTGTTGTGTTATACGAGTGTCTATATCGAAATCCTCTGATTCCCACTCTTATGTAGGATAAAATCCCCTACAATAGCGACTACTCGCTCTCTCTTTTCCTCAACTTGAATATAGTGTAAGCGATTAGCCAGTATTTAAGCATTTCAAAGTTGGCGCGCCTGATTTACCGATATCAGCGCGCCGGTTACAAGCAATCGATATGATCGATCGCTATCGATCATGATTATGCGCGCTGCGTTCAGCGGCGCCCCCGTCGCTAAGGGTGATTGCTCCATTTTGGAAATCGGAGCAACGGCAGACGAGTACTTCCAATTGTCGGAGT